ACTTTGTCATACAGATATTGAGCAAAATCCTCGGCCCTCCCCTCCAGGGAATCCTCTCCCCCCCTCAGCTGAAGGAGAGAGCGGGTCACCCTGAAGAGGGTGGCCGGGCGATTATCTGATGACGCAATGAGGGTGGAGTAGTAGTTAGACCTCGCCACCCTCATCGCCACTAGGTAGGATCTAACCTGTATCCTTGCCTCTGTTCGGTCGAATTCGGTTCGGCTCGCCTCCAACTGCTCTCCAGGCGTCTTTTCCGGCGCTTCATCTCTCTCAGCTCCTCGGTGAACCAGGGAGCCAATTGAGATCTGCGCCGGGTCAGAGGCCGCAAAGGCACGACTCGGTTCAATGCTGCGGCAGCGGCCGTCTCCCAGGCCGCCGCCAGATTTTCAACCGAATCGTGAACTAGGTTAAACTAGGTTTAAACTAGGTTTAAAAACAGACAAATGAAAAAGTATCACTTCTGCACTGGATCCCACATCTAAGGTACTACAAACCCAAGATCTGTTTCCTAAAAAAGGCATATATATCCCAGCTATATTCTTCAAGCACAGAATTTGAATATATGAAGATGCCATATCCTGAGTCAAGCCTTCAGGCAATTTAGTCTGCTATTCCTTATTCTCTCTGAGACTCATGTCAGTTTCATTAGTCCCACTGCTTGAAAAAGTCATAATTAGACAATAGTGCCTCAAATTCAAGCCTTGTATGCACTACTGAATTTATGCCACTTGCTTTTAGGCCTAAACGTACCCTCCTCAACAGATGAAAATTACCCATCTTTTATTCTAGAAGAAATATAGACCAGAGATCCCCAACCTTTTGGGCACCAGGGACTGGTTACGTGGAGAGAGGTTTTTCTGCGGACCGGAAGGGGCGTGGTTTTGTGTGCTGCCTGCATCCCGTGGATGGGGCTTTGCTTGTTTGTGCGCCCCAGGTGCTGGCATGCCACGGCCCAGTACCAGTCCGTGGACCGGGGATTGGGGACCTGATATAGACAACGTGTGGTAATTTAGAAAAATATTTATAACATATTCACCACCAGGGGGCCTCAGTGATTTAAATAGGTATGGGTCTTCATAAGTTTAAGCAGGCAGCTGAAACAGGTTAATTTTGACTTATGTTTTGTAAGGGCAATTTGATTTTATTGCAAATTATCATTTTTCTGGTTTAAGTTTAAATTTGAATGGTCAGCTTCAGGAATGTTTGATTTAAAAACCATGACAAAGTATCTGACTAACTTAGTAAGAATAACAAAACTGAATTGCTATAGACCATTAAGGATAAATGTGTTAACATCTGAGTGCTACATTTTATAAATGCTATCAAAATTCTGATAAGAGTCAGTTTGATATAACTGTTAAAGCAGTGGATTAGAAAATCAGGAGATCTGACATTACAGCCCTGCCTTGGCCACAAAATCAGCTGGTAACCCTGGATCAGTCATTCTCTCTTAGCCTTAGGAAGGAGGCAATGGAAAACTCTCTGAAAAACACTAGGGACTTATCCAGGCACAAAATAAACGAAATCAAAATACTTACTTGGTGCTTCTGTATTTTCATCTACAGGTGTATCTGCACTGGATAACAACTACAACACAGAGGGGGAAAAAGATTTTTAGAAAGAAATGTTTGTTTTTTGAAAGAATACACTGTTCACAGAGTTTTCTAACAGTGATACCTTTAACTAATATTTCTTAATACGATTCCACCAGGTAGACTGAAGCTGCAATTTATCCCAATTTATCTGGGTGCCACTAAGTGGGGGAATTGGTGAATCTTCACCCTAAATGTCTGCATGTATTTTGATTAAAATGCCACACTACACTGCACTTGATCCTAGCTGGTTATATACAACGTTGCTATGTTTGTGTAATAGTGTGCAAAATTAATCAGGTATAGATAGTTCTCAACTCATGATCCTAACTGAGCTCTGAGTTATGGTCATATTTCATGTGACTATACCTGATTTTAAGGTCTTTCCTGCTGCTGTTGTTAAGTGAATCACAGAGGTCTTTAAGTGAATCACTGTCCATCATGGGCAATTTTGCTGAAACCAGAAATAAACACCAGTTTCAGCAAAAAAAGTCATAAATCACAGTCACGTGACCCCAGGATGCTGCAAGCAGTTGTAAATGCAGAGCAGTTGCCAAGCACTCAAAATGCAATCATGTGACTGGGGAGGGGAAGTCCATCAGAACTTTGAATCTGGGTTGTAATAACCCTGGGGAGGCCCATCATAACTTCAAACAGTTGCTAAGCAACCAGTCGCAAGTCAAGGACTCCGTATTGCTTGTCCTCTACAGCCAGCCAGCTTCCACACAGCTCATGCCTGTTTTGTTTTTAATCTCCACTTATTCAGTGTATCAGCTGTTCTTTCTATAGCTTCATATTTTACTTTTACTTTTTAAATTTTTTAAAACTTTATCCCATTTTATATAACTTTTTATAGGCTGCGATTTTGCAGCATATTTATAGCTTTTACTGCTCAATCTTTTAACTATATAATTATTTATTTAATGTTTCTAGGAGCAGACTGTTTTCACATTATAACACTTTATTTCACAGCCTCTACTGTTTTAGGTTAAAGCTGGAAACAAATGGATTGCACTGTTATTTTACAAAACCACAGCGCAGTGCCCTTGCTAGAGAAATATCAGTATAGGGGCTAGAAGTCTAAACCTTCACTCCTACCTCGAAGTCCTGTCTGCCAGGCCTTATCCTATTCTGTAAACACAATCTGATCGGATAAAGTTCAAGGCACTATACCATACAGATTAATTCTCTCAACAAATCTGTGCACTTATACAGCAAAAGAAAAGCAAATCATGTTATTACAGAAAATGCAACAATACTTGCATACCTGTTGAAGAAGATGAGGATATCTTGCTTGAACTTGGCGGACAAACTCTTGACCTTTTCTATAAATCAGGTATTCACAACTAGAAGAAAAGTATATCAACTTTAAGTTTTAATATGCAGAATATACGCTCTTTTAAGAATATTTATTAGCCACAATGCTCTGCTTAGTGGGCCAAAGATATATTTATTGAAACCTGACCCAGGACAATACACTGAAGCATTAAATATATCCATTCTGTCAAAAATGGAATTCACAAGTGAAAAACATTACCCAGTCAACACTGAGAAAACCAAAATTAATTAATCCCATCTCTGAGGGAGATGGGCAGTTAATAAATTTGATAAATAAACAAATGAACAAATAAATTCAACTCTAGTAGCCTACAATCCACATTTTGTATGCAATTTATATCCTGTTTATTACACCTCAAAATAATTCCAAAATTATTAACTCCAAACATCTTCACTACAAATGGAAGAATCTTTGTTAGACACAATTGCATTAGAAATCAAGAACTGTATTTTTCTACAAACCCTATCTTAAGATGAGCTTGGTCCAGATCCCTAGAGTGGTGAGCCAAGATTTCATTCACGTGGAAACTCCTAAGGTTTTGCTCCGCTCCATGAACTAAAGGGAGCCATTTATTCTACTCTCTGGATTAGAATCACATTTCTTTTTTTTAAACCAGATGTACTGGCACATGGGATACGACCCAATCATTACAATACTTGATTAGAACTTAGCTAAAACAGTTTTGTTAAGTACACTTTACTATCTAGTGTTCTTTTAAAAATGTCAGTATTGTTTAACCCAACAGAACTTTTGAAAATAGCTTTTGAAATAGCTAGTGTAAGAATGATTTTATTCTTGAATCAAAGTTCAGCACATCTTGCTTCCTACAGCAGCTAAGAAAATGCTCCAAATCTGAACAGCAAAGAGAAGGAAAGATTGCTCCCATTTCACTGTGGCTGTGCAAATACACAAAAAACTGTGTATGAACAACTTCTTTACAAATGAGTAAAACAGCCATACATTTCTCCCCAGCAATATATGGCAGCTTCAAAAACTGTATCTAGGTGACTGGATGAATAAGATGCAGCCACATCTTGATGGATAAAGGCACTGCTGCTTTAAAGATATTCAGTATCTCGAGAAAAACACAAGCCATTTTCAGTTAATTCTTACCAGCTTAAAGTTCAGTTCTATGCAAGTTATGTCAACTAAACAATCCATTTGTTCTCCCAAAACTTTAGATTTATTTCTTGAATAGCAATGCTCCTGCTCCCTTCACAAACCACTTTTGAGATAACCATTCATGGTGAAGATGCTTCATATTAATACAGAAGCTAGTCTGTACCTGCATGGAAATATTACTCTTACTGAGTAATCCTGTTCAGAGAAACAGTTCTACTTTCAACAGGACAAAAGTTATTACAAAAGCTTCTTTGTTATTTTTTTTTTTTTTTAAAAAAGGAAGGGTACCTTGGAAACCATTTAGCATGTTCCACCCATGGATCATCTCCAGTCTCCCAACACCTGAGTCCACCGTCACAGCAGAAGCATTTGACATCATCATTGCGACCTTAACAACAAACATTTCATGAAGTAATTAAACAAAAAGACAAACAGTAACTTTAACTGTTGAAAAATTAGATTCAATCCAAAACATGAAAGAACAAGTTCTTACCCACGTAATAGAAGCCAGCATCTGCCAGTTGCTGTGGATGAACCGGAACTGTAACTGGCCAATTTTTGAAGGTTCTGAAACGGCCTATGTAGTTTTGCATGCCCAAATTAAAGCCAGTCAAATTTGAACTGTTTTGTTCCACAAAAGGACAGTTTGGAAAATGTCTTTGATGTTCTGACATAGCATTGTCCTTTGGTTCCCAATTACTCAACTGACCACCACAGGCAAAACAAGCCACCTTGTCTGAAGGTCCTACATAATAAAACCCAGCTTTGGCTAAAGAAGTTGGGGACAAAAATGCCAGGGGCCATGTCTTGAAAGTGAGTAATCTGCTTTCCTCTGTGCTCATCATAGGGTTGAAAGCCTTTGGTCTCAAATGTGACAGATCTTCTACTGCTGCAGCTGTGACTGGATTATGAGGAAAACTGGAAAAGCTTCCATTGTAATACCCAACTTGACCCAAACTTAATGCTTGCATTGAAGAATGTGAAGAGGTAAGTCCAGAGATAGCTGGAGGTGAAAAGGCAGAACGAAACGAGGATCCAAGGTTAGTCACTGAAGTTAGACTCTGAACAAAACTGCAACTAGGATAGAGTTGTTTGTGCTTCTCCAGAGCACTGTCACCTTTTTTCCAGTTATCTAACATTAAGCCACAATTGTAACATTTCACTTTGTCCTTCAGACCAGTATAATAGAAACCAGCTCGAGCAAGACTCCTTTCAGATACTGGTACATTCGGTGGAAAAGCGGAATATGTAGACATCCTATAGAGTTCACACGATAAGTCATACTTCAGTTCTGTCACATCTGCGTCATTCTTCAGTTTCGGTAGAAATGAGCCAATAACATTCATGATGAAGATAAAACAGGATAGGAGTAAAGGACGAGTCTGAAGTTTGGGAGATAATTTTGTGCAATTCTTACCAACTTCCAAGCCATAATAAAATAAAAACCTGAAAGTTAACGTTATATTGCAATGCTTATTTTCTTTTTCTTTTTAAAAATAAAATATTACATTCACTTTAATAGTTCCTTTTTGACAGGGTAATTTCTTCCCAGTTTCACAATCCAGACTTGTTATAAAATATTGTAGTTCCTTTTTTTTCTTCTATAATTACATAAATCTTACTAAATTGAGGGAGGAGCATATTTAAAATAAAGGAAGTTTGAAGAAATAATTAATTATTAAGTCTGTATACATGGGGCCTCTGTCCCAAGAATCTGAATTATTTGCAAATAAAATAATGTAGGGATATTTTTTAAACTTTTATTTCTGAAAGAGCAAGGTCAAAATCATGGATCTAAGTGGGGACTACCTGTATGGTACTACAGAAAAGCCAACTTAAATCAAATGCACATCTTTGAATACTTCTCCTTACAATAAGAAACCATTTTTTCCTTATCAATATACCATTTCACTCAGTAACACTTCACAAGAAATTCCTCAAAGGTTTATCCTGACACATATCAGTGAAATGTGATCAAAGGAATTTTGGTCACCAAAAGCTCTTAACAGCCTTGGAACATAGTCTTTTTTATATTATCACTTAAGTGTAGTGAATTTTCAATCCGGCTGCATTATTATTAAAGGGTTATTGAATTTAATACGTTTATGGAGATGTCGACCCCAAAGCAGCAGTTTAAATTCATTAATGAAAATATCATTGCAGATAATGTTTGATAAGTGGATCCAGTTATCCTGCATAATGGCAAAAACCAATTTGAATATCTATGCACAAAATTATCTCCCAAACTTCAGACTAGTCCTTTCAAGGGGCTTAAGCAGCCATAATACAATATGGTACTCACAAGGAGAATTTTTTAAAAAGATTGAAAAATACAACGTATTTCGGGTTACTGAAACCTGCATGAAAAGAAAAATACATAAGCTCCTTTAAACAATAATTAACTTTGTATATAAACTGTTATAAATAATGCACGTATTTTAGAAATAAAGTTTAAACTTTATTCCATAGTTATAACATTGTTAGATTAAAAGTTTAAAACTTGTGGTTCATCAGTCACAAAAGACTAGAAGAAAATTGATCAGTCACAAAAGAGTAGAAGTTCACAAAATTCTATTTGCAAATTTAAATCTTCCAGACTTCAACTTCTAAAATTCAGGTTGACTACATAGCTCTGAAAAAACCCCAACACTCTTTAGCATCTTAAAATTATACTTACAATTTCCTCAAGATAACTTTAACTCAACTATGCATTTTAGGTATCACTAGAAGGTAACAGCTGTCTTTTTTTTTTTTTTTTTTTTTTGGTCCATGTTATAAAAATAAACCCTGGATTTCCAGCTTCCTTAAAATAAAGTTGCTACAGTAAACTAAAAAAGATCTGCCTCAGGACCAGATCATCTAGTGCAGAGATGGGCAATTATGCCAACTTCAAGATCTGTGAACTTCAACTCCCAAAATTCCTGAGTCCACAGTTGTCATAATTACCCACCCGATCTAGTGCTTTCCAAACATTTACATCTGTGTGGCAGTCAACGTGGCTAATACCAGTTGAGGGAACTGCAGTCCAAAACACCTAGATCTAGAACCAGATGGGCTGTTCTTGACTCTCCAAAGAAATTGCAGAAATCTGTTTAGGCTAACATAATTTTTGATCACTTTAATGGCAAGAACCACTTTAATTTGGCATATACATATATATGTTTCATCATTTTTGTCTAATTATAAAAACACTAGTGAACAGGTATATCTTATTTAGAGAAGAGGTGGAAGGGAATGGTTTCATGGAGTGAAGTCAAACCAAAAAGGAAAACTATATTTTAGGATACAAATGTAAATGAGCTTCAGGCAGGGTAACAATTTATTAAACTTGTATGCCAACTCTCAACAAGTAATAATAAGAGATTCAGAATAGGTGTAACCCAACTCCGAAACTAGCAATTCAGGGTGAACCTGCAGTGCAAGACATTTAGAAGTTTAAAGAGACTTAAAAATGGAAAATCTATTAAGAAATCTTTGTTGCGTTACTTATGTCCTACTGTGGGAAGTCAGCCCCCGCCCCCAGAGAAGGAAATATTAAAAGGGCAGAAAAATATATTTCCTCACAGGATCTTGAAGAGGCAGGAAAGCATGCCCTGTTTTCTTAATATTCCTAGGTCTCCCTTCTCCAAGCAGAAACCAGCTCTATAGAGATGCAGATGTAAATTCAGGGAACTAGAAGCTTAAGAAGACAAAGACCTAAAATCTACATACCCCATCCAAACTCTAAGAGCCATCAGTCCCAGCCCCAGGGAAGCAGGATATGACCTTTGGGACACAATAGGATTAACCTATCACCATCAGAATACCAGAAAAGCACACTCAGACTCAGGTCAAAGTTCATGCCACAGGAACAGGAAGCAACTCCAAACAAAAGGCTCCAGAGGGTATAAAAAGCCACTCCCCACATGTGCTCAGCCCTTTTCTCTCCTCTTCCCTGCCAGAACCATCTTTCTGTCTGGCTCTTCAATAAATTGCAACCTTCTTTCTAAAGCAGTCGCCATGTTGTTTATCCCCGGCTTGGATGAACCAGGATTAAGACTTTTCTTTCAACACTACATTAAAGTCTGGAGCTGGAAAATGAAGAATGGATGAAACCCATTTCCCCAAAGCTCCTAAAATAATATAGCTACCTTCTATCAAGCTGTTATCTCTTTAGTACCCAATGACTAATCAGAATTAAGATTGTATACAACTGTAATGGCCTAATATAAACCTAACAAGACACTCAATGGAAAGCAGAGGATGAAGAGTAGCTATTATTAGACTTGTAACAAATTCATCTGGAGAGCAGATGAACATCAAAAGCACCAGGATAACTGATATGAGGAAACTTCTAATCTAAATGTCATTGCTGTAATTAGGGGGCCTTTGTGCTTTCTGAGCTTGGTTGTTTCTTGCAGACTTTTCATTACCCAAACTAGGTAACAATGATGTTACCCAGTTTGTGTAATACCATAGCAATAGCACTTAGACTTATATATCGCTTCACAGTGCTTTACAGTCGTCTCTAAGTGGTTTACAGAGTAATGAAACATCTGCAAAAAAACAACCAAACTCACAGAGCACAAAGGAGTCATTTCAACCCTGAGCTACAAATATTCTTTTTCATCAGTATTGTTGTAATTAAATGTGTGAAATGACTGCTAGGAAATATAATTAAATTATAGAAATCATGACTGAGATGATTACAATTAGAGTCACTGTATAAAAAGAAGAGACAGATTACCATCAAGTAAAGTCATTTGCTATAATCATCTCTTGCTCATATCCAGCTGACTTTTGTTAAAATTGCAGTAGTAGTCTTAAATAGATCCTGGACATGATCAAAAGCAGTAATGTTTATGTGTCTTTAGTCAATTTTATTTAATTTGTATAGACACCCATTTGAACCCAGTGCCTTGGGCACTGAGGATTACCCACTGGTAATTTTTTTGTTATCAGCAATTTCATCTTCTAAAGGATGGGATATCCTACCTCTGGAAGATGACATTCGAACCTCACTTTTCTTTTCTAGCTCTATAGCAATTATACACTATATTCCTGTCCTAATAATTCTGCCAGTCTTCACAAAAAATATTTTGAAACTGTATTCAGGGAACAGGGAAACTGTATTCAGGGAAACCCTGAAGGCTCCTAGTTAAGGACAGACTTGTTTCTGGAAAGACCACATTCAACTGTGCCAAGTAGAGCATCTCCAGACAGCCTTTCCAACATGAACCTCTCCAGATGTACCAGTGTACCCCTAATTATTCCCAGGCAACTGGAAACTATGAAAGACTCAACCCTATGCAAGTAGAAGTCATTAGATTGGTTTTGGTCAATTCACTACAATCATCTTCAAATCCAGTATCCATTATCTTAAAACATATAATCCTCCAGATGTTGCTGGAGTGCAGCTTCCAGAATCCTCACCACTGGATATACTGATGAAAGCTAGAATCCAACCCTACCTAGAAGGCAAAAAAACAGAGATAAAGCCTCCTTCGAATCAGGCTGCACTTCTGGCCATTGCACAAGAGGCACCCCCTCTTATTTAGGGGTGAAGAAGGTACATTATCTTCTTCCAGATGTAGCCCTGAGATTGCCCGATGGTCTTCTTTCCCAACGCTCAACCACTCCAACCTCGCTTAGCACTGGGGGATCAGCAAGGTCCCCTCAAAAGAACAGGCAGCGCCAAGTCTCAGAGGCGGGGTTCACAACTTGCCCTGCACTTACACAACAGCTGCACTTACACAACAACTGCACTTACACAACTCTGGTTAATGCAAATCTACCCCACAGTTCCAGCTCAAGGCTTTATGCGCAATCAGAAAATGAGTAATCATTTAAGACTGTGTGGAAAATAGCTCTTGGGCTTACACCATATAGTACACCCGATTTGCACACATACACACACACACTCCCCCATCACAGGCACGGCACCCCAATACCTCAGGCCCCGGCCCCCGCCCCCTCCCTCGCGAGACAACGTGTCCATAGAGACGCCGCCCCAGCAGACCCCGCCCACGCCGCCCCACGCGTGCGCGGCCCCCACTTACCCCCACAGCCACCGGTTAGTCTTAAAGCAAAGCGCGAGCGCAAACTTTATTATATATAGCGTCGCGAAGGCGGCGATCAGGGGAGGAGGGGAGACTCAGAAGGCGTCAAACCAAGCCGTTGGGCCGAAGCCCCGCCCCCCGTTTGAAAAATAACTCGAAACATGGCTCCGCCCTCATTCCATTCGAAGGGAAAGAACAGAGGAGGAGCCTTTTAGTCAAGAGGCCCCTGCCGTGTGACGGTTCCTAACAAAGGGGCATTGCCTCTCTTGGTGCGCATGCGCCAATTGGTTTGGGAGGGCGGAAGGGCCTCGTTTGTTGCGGTCCGGGTTGTTTGACTTTCAATTAATTCGGGTTCTGCAGGTTCGTTTCCGAGTTCAGGAAAAGTAGCCTGATTTGAATTGCAATCTAATCCTGAATGTTCCTAATCTT